CAGGTCCTTTGTTGGACACTTCTCGATGATTGACTGCAGCCTATTGTAGAATTGATCTTTAGCGTCTTCATTGTAGTCGTTGGTAGGCGCATAGCATTGGATGGTGTTCATTGAAATGCCCTCTTTCTTTGTTTTGAAGGAGGCTTTGATGATCCTTGGTCCATGAGATTCCCATCCTATAAGTGCATTTTGTGCTTGTTTGGATAGCATCAGTGCAACGCCTTATGTATGTGGGGCATTTTCTTCTTCATGACCGGAGTATAACAGGGGCTCCCCTGAAGCTAGTCGTTGTTTTCCAACCTGCGTCCAATGTGTTTCACTGATTCCAATCACCTTCATGTCGTATCTTTTCATTTCTGCAACAACTTGGCTGACTCTCCCGGTGTCCCACATTGTACGAACATTACATGTACTTAAATAAATGGTTGCTCTGGTTGTCAGAAGGCGCATCGGCTTTGTAACTTCCGAAGGAACTCGACTTTTATCATGAGGCGTCATAGTTTTTCTAAATGAAGACCTTCTGATTCCCAGGGCGGAGTTTAAAAGGTGTGAATATTTTTTCCTGGTTAGTGTTTTTTAGCGTGTTAGTTTTCTACGGGGTGGATTCTGTAACCTCACACCCACCTGATAATTTCTTTCTATTTTCCTCAACTAAATCTCCTTAGCTTTCTGCTGCCAGGTTTCTCATTTCGATTGGTATTACATACTAATTATGTCTGTCGACATAAGTAGTATGCACCACACTATCACTTCCTAGTGAAATCCATAATACAATTTAGCTCTCGGACCATAAATTTACCGCTATTCAATCAAAATTTTGCTGCACAATCAAGAACCATTTATAACTTCTTCTGCCTCTTTTGAGTTAATAACCGCATATTGCAGCAAATACTAACGTGAACGACATTCTAGCTTACTTTGTATATCTGGAGACAATTCAGCATATCTACTAATAGCATCGTCGATTATTTCGGTGTACCTTTCGGATAAACATTCGACCCCCCTAGCCGAACAGGCCATGATGTCTATTGACTCCAATAGATACTTAACGGTAGGAAGAATAAATTCATATTAACTGGGAGAACCTTGTAAACGGAAACATTGTGCTTCTATGTACTCAACGGAGCATCCAATGAAACTTGCATATATTTATCAAATAGCTATGTTTTATAACCAGAGAATTCGAACAGCCAATACAAGCTATATATTAATTAAGGAAAACTTGAACTCAAGTTACTTTAGATTACTCACACCTGTCAACCCTCGACTGATATAGATCCCCGACCACAACGTTCTCCCAGGTTCCCATGTACCTATGTTAATTGTTACTCTGGTTGTTAGAAGGAGGACCGGCCTCGTGGTTTCCGAAGAATCTTTGCTTTAACCGTGAGTGGTCATAAGCCTTTTTCTAAATAAAAACCCTTCAACTCCTAGGGCAAGTTCGAATGATTTAAGTGATCTTTTCTGGCTAGCGGTTCGTATTAGTTTTATTTTCTACGGGATAGGGTTGCTAATTCCATGTCCTACCCTCCTCCCTTACCGTGACTTCGAAACGGCTGTAACTCTTGAAGGGTCCAAGGCGGAGTCATAGTGTTAACTGTCCACCTAATCAAATCGTTGTTTGATCGAGCTTTCTTAGTGATATCAAAGTAGAACCTAATGAAACACTTCCCACGCTGCAACATTGTTATCAGCATAGAAAAATTATCTCTGAGTGGGTGGTTAGCTGACGAAATTACACACGTACAAAATGTCGCACAATCAACTTTGAACCTAGCATAAGTATGAGTTGGTCTTATACCGTGTTGGCACGATGAGTTATCTTACACCAGGTAAACATAATAAATAAATAATATATTTGTAATATCCCAATGAGTAGAAAAATTAGATTTTCTGACGTTTCGTGATGTAAGTTGCTTCTTCAGATAATAAATAACCAAATTAAAACTAATCCAAGTTTAAATAGTACAACGGAACAATAAGAATAATATGTGATCAAAAGCAGGTCTGAACAAGTAAGTGTCATGTCATTTCAGTCGTGATTCATAAGTGATATGTATGTAAATTTTTTATGTACGTGTGTATGTAATGTTTAAGGATGAAAAATTGTGTGACATTTATGGTGAGAAAGGGTAGAGTTTAATTTGTAAGATGATAGTGAGAATTGTAAATAAGATCAGACTGAATGGCTAGGATAGATAGTCCAAGTAGGATGTATGGTAAGGCCTTCTATTCTATTGAGAGAAATAGGATTAAGCATTATATGGAACACTTCAGCTACTTTCATTTCTTTGCAATTGGAAAAGCCTTCATGCAATATTTTGATATTTTTGAAATCAATTTGGTGATCGTTGAAAATGGCATGAACTGCTATTGCCGATTTAATTTGAAGTTGATCCGATTCTACGGGATTGCTAGGAGGTTTCTCTGTGTACCTATTATGTTCTTTGGCTGTAGTCAAGATTTCGCGAGATGACTCTCCAATATAGAAGGCATCACAATGGACATGAATGGGATTTTTTCTTTTAAGAGAACTAAAGTATTTCGAGGTGTGTTCGTTGTTTTGTAAGATACTTTAATTCTGTGTTGTTTTAAGATTCTTTGGATTTCTTCTGTTGTGCCATGACGGTATGATAAAACTGCAGTACCAATCCATGGCATTTCATTCGAATTATTATTATAACGCCCTAAACCGTCTTGTTTTATTATACTTCTGATAATCTTCATAGGAGAACTATTACATTCTTTTTTTGTCTTCTTCTGATGTGATGATCTTGTTAGCTCTTCTGAAAAGATTTTATGCTAGCGAGATCTTAGCACTGAAAGGATGTGCTGAATGGAAGTCAATATTAGCGACTAGAGTATGTAGGCTGTCGGTAGATGGATAGATTTAGAATTCCATTTAGATTTCTTTTCACTAATCAATCTAAGAATGGTAGCTCACCATGTTCACTTTCATTCGTAAATTTGATGTGAGATGAAAGTCTATTTATCCGTTTTGTAAAGATCTTAGATGAGTACTTTTTTTATAACCACAAATGTATCATCTACATATCTAAGCCAAATTCGTGGTATAACGTCGTGGGCGAAGATATTTGATTCTAAGTGTGCCATAAAAAGATTGGCTACAATCGGGGACACGGGGGATTCCATTGCTACACCGTTAGTTTGCTTGTATAACATCCCGTTAAAAGTGAATGGAGTCGAATATAAGCCGAGTTTTAAGGATCTCACGATTAAACTGATGCTCAAAGGGCATCTGTCAGAAAGAGTATTGCCGTTCTCTAGTAAACCACTAACGAATTCTAAGCATTTATCAATGGGAATACTAATGTATAGAGAAACGAGATCAAAGCTTACCATGACCCCATTCTTCTCGATAATTAATTCCGACAATTTTGATTTAAAGTCATATGTACCTTTAATCATTATGTAATTTAAGCTGTTGTTGTTTTAATATGTTGCTTAGATATTTCGATAACTCATATGTCGGTGTGTTGGTAAAGTCTACTATCGGTCTTAGAGGGATATCTGGTTTATGAATTTTCGGTAAACCATAAAACCGTGAAACATTACATGATTTGGGATGCAGAGCAAACCAATGACTGGTTTTAGCTCTTTCAAAAGTTGACGTGCTTTTGATTTGACTTGATTTTTAATCGTTAGAGAATTTTTCGGATTGATGTTTTCATATGGTTCTGTTGAGAGATGTTCAAGAGCTTTATTAATATAATCTGTTTTATTCACGACTACTGTTATGTTGCCTTTGTCGGCTTTCGTGATGATAATCGTCTTATCTTTTTGAAGGGAATGCAGAGCCTTCAACTCTTCTTTTGAAATGATTGGTGTAATGTGTTTTTTAGTCAAAATATGGGATGTCTTTTGACGTAATAAATGCGACTGTTTTTCCGGTAGTTGTGCGACTATTGGTTCTATAATTGGAGCAATTTCAAGAGTACTAGGTGGTTTTCCATGTAAATTGAAATTTAATCCTTTCTCCAGTAGAGTGATTTCATGACTGGTTAAGTTTCTGTCCGAGAGATTATGAACAATTCTTCTTAGATCATTCGAATGAGATTTTATTGCTGATGTTTTATCTTTCTTCCTTTCTTTGATGTTCTCGAATTTTTTAATTTGCTGGTGTTTCGATGAATTTAAATAAAGAAGTTAGGAATCGTGGTTTTTAATTCAATAGGAATTGAAAGCTTCAGTAGATCATTAATGTTTTTGATTCGTTCACGATATTTTTCAAGTAAACATGTGCATTTGTGAATGCGTCCTCGTAAAAATATTCGAGAAGTGCGTTGAGAAGTCTGGATAGATCTCCAGGACAGTTCTGGAGGTTTCACAAAAAGAGATTTCGGGATAATGTTGTCTTGTAAGCATCGTTTATTAAATATTCTGTGATTGTACCAATCGCATTTACACTTGGATAATTGAAGTTGAATTATTGGGTCAAGTTTCGTAGGTGAGCCTGTAAAACCAAGGCTTGATTATTAGGTTTACATGTTTGTCACCCGTCGTTGTTCCGTGATAAGTTTAAAGCAATGTTGTTGTGATTACAAACGGGTTATCAGGAAAGTTTTTAATGTTCTATCGAACGCTTTCGACCACTTTACTGTTTATTAATTGTGTATGCTACATATTAGAGTTTAATTCCCATAAGGGATTTTATCTCTAGGCCTAATGTTTGCTATATTTGGGCATCTCATCTGGCATGGCGAGCTGTACTATAGTAACATGTTCATAACTAGAAAGTTCTTGATAACGCCAGATTCCTGGAATAAAATCTTCACATCCCAGTAATCATCCATCAAATGAATGGAAAAATGACCAAAATTATTTGGTATAACGATCCGATTGAGCATTGAAAACTCACGGCACCCTCAGCTTTGTTATTCTTGTTTTGAAAGTAAACGTTAATTTAAGTTTTAGAAAATATCAGACGTAAGTGCATGAAAGAAGTAATTATAACCATTTCGTATGTTTATTTTTTGTAGCTGACAAAAGATGAACTGGAAACATGTGAAATCTCTTTGCAACCCAGTAGTTCACAAAAAGCAAGTCGAAGACGACGTAAACGCTAAAATCTTTTCTACATAAGTGTCTACTAAAGAGGAAATGCTGTTAGATGAATGATATAATCTTATTACATTTGACAGTATTATATATCTTCACTTTTTCTAATCTAATTGTCAATTCACTCAATCATTGATTTAGAAAAATTTATATGTGTATATTGTTATTAATTTATGAAAGGTAATATCTAATTCTACTGTCTGCTCTCTTATTCCAAATTGTACAACCTTTTTTCTGCATATGTTTCGTCTTTGTTTTAACTTAATAAATCCTAATTGTTTTATGACTTCTATTAAACTTTAAAATATAAATAATCATAAAATTAAAATAGATTTTGCAGATCATGTGTCTAATTTACTTACAAATGTTAACTAAACAATAATCAGTGTTGTACGAATAAAATGTATTTTCGCTGTATATTGTATTTCTTCATTCAGAGTTTTATTGGTGTGTACTGTCGATAACGGAAGTAATACATCTAAACATAGATTCAGCTTACCGATGACTAATTTCTAATAATAATAAAGACAACTGTTAGATTTAATGTATTTTGGTTTTTTGAAATTCCGATTAGTCACTTGAGGTTATTATTCCGAATGCACTTCAATGTAGAGTTCGAAGTATCACTGATATATAAAGTTTACTAAAATAGTTTATCACAAAACAATCCGATCATTACTCTTGCACCTCTGAGTTAGTGGTTCCGATCCCGCCCCTCGCGTCATTAAGTATACGCCTCTTGATAAGAATAAATGATGCAAACTCCTTTCGCAAGGTCATGACGTTTTTTCAGTAGTCTGTTTGCTAGAAATAAACTATTACATCACAGTTTCATTTTGATACTCAGCTACGGATAATTTTTTTAATGGGGGAGGGGTTTTACACTGTGGACCAGGAACCTTACTGGTTTTAAATGATTATCTATCAAAAATCAGTTCCTGATGATAAACTGTAAATTTTCTTCATGAATGAGAAAAGCAAATATATTAATATATAAATTATTGATCATATTGTAGGAAAAATACACAAGATTTAGTCTCATCCAGAAAACACAGCATCAGTAATTAAATAGTTATTTATTGGTTTCTCATTACGAAATACTGACTGAGAATCATTTTTCTGTGTTAGAAAAACAAACCGTTTCACACACAAAACAAAAAAGGAATCATCGGAAGTGGATAAACGATTAAATGAAACAGTTATTCTTTGTTCTTAGTTTTTTTGTGTGAGCAAAATAGATGGGTACTTAAGATTTAAACAAGCTAATTGAAGAACAGGTATTAAAAGATTTGATGCATTTTTTAAATAATTTTGTGCATTACTACATTCTAACAATAAATTTGAAATGTATTGACTTTTTGATAGTTGGGTCGTGATAGTGGTAGCAACGTTAGAATTTGACCGTTCTTGTTCAAATACTTCTGTTGAATTTTTCGCATGTAACTACAAAAATATACACATGTAGAGAAGATAGAAAAATTTAAATTAACTGCAGAACGAAGATCCAGTATAGACTCTATACTGTTGAATGCTTCGAGGTTACTTACTTACTTACGCCTGTTACTCCTCGTGAAGGAGCATAGGCCGCTCACCAGCATTCTCCATCCAACCCTGTCCTGGGCAATCCTTTCTAGCTCCGTCCAGTTGTAATTCATCGTTTTCATATCTGCTTCTATTATCCGACGCAATGTGTTCTTTGGCCTTCCTCTTTTTCGCTTCCCTTCAGGATTCCAAGTTACGGCTTGCCTCGTGATGCAGTTTGACGATTTGCGTAATGTATGTCCTATCCATTTCCATCGTCTTTTCCTAATTTCTTCTTCAGCTGGAAGTTGGTTTGTTCTCTCCCAGAGAAGGCTATTGCTGATGGTATCCGGCCAATGGATGTTGAGTATCTTGCGTAGACAGCTATTTATAAATACTTGTACTTTCTTGGTTGCGGTTGTTCTCCAAGTTTCAGCTCCATACAGTAGAACTGCCTTGACGTTCGTATTGAAGATTCTCACTTTGATATTGGTTGAAAGTTGTTTTGAGTTCCATATGTTCTTCAATTGTAGGAATGCGACCCTTGCTTTGCCGATCCTCGCCTTTACGTCTGCATCGGATCCTCCTTGTTCATCGATGATGCTTCCCGGGTATGTGAAGGACTCTACATCTTCCAGAGTTTCGCCATCAAGCGTGATTGGATTGCTGTTTTCCGCTTTGAATTTGAGGACCTTAGTTTTCCCTTTGTCTATGCTGAGGCCTACTGATGCAGAGACTGCTGCTACACTGGCTGTCTTCATCTGCATCTGTTCATGTGTATACGATAGAAGTCCAAATCGTCTAATTGGTTCTGAGCTGTCCATTGTATTCCGCGTTTTCTTTCAGATGTTGAGGTCTTCATAATCCAGTCGACCACCAGGAGAAAAAGGAAGGGAGAGAGTAAACAGCCTTGTCTGACTCCGGTCCTTACTTGGAATGCATCTGTCAGCTGTCCTCCATGCACTACTTTGCACTGTAGTCCGTCGTATGAGTTCCGGATAATATTGACAATCTTCTCAGGAACTCCGTAGTGTCGAAGAAGTTTCGATAATGTCCTCCTATCTACACTGTCGAATGCCTTTTCATAATCAATGAAGTTGATGTATAGTGATGAGTTCTACTCAACTGATTGTTTGACGATGATCCGTAGTGTTGCAATTTGGTCTGTGCACGACCGATCCTTACGGAATCCAGCAATAGAATTCAAACGTCTTTTACTCTTGTGTACAAAAGATGTTCAGTTCCAGTTCAACAATACTATATACCGACAAACCGATGGTGTAGCAATGGGAAGTCCGTTAGGCCCCGTCCTAGCAGACATTTTCATGGCTAACCTCGAAAGAACCAAGCTCAAAGGAGCGATTGATGAAATGGTGTATTATTCGAGGTATGTTGATGATACATTCATCTTATGTAATAATCAACAACATGCAACAAATCTGTTAAAGTTTTTCAATGAAGCTCATCCAAATATTCATTTCACTATGGAACATGAAAAAGAAAACATGTTCCATTTCCTCGATATAGCGATAAAACGAAGAAAGGATGGCACAGTTCAACGCTCAGTTTATAAGAAAGACACATGGAATGGTAGTTATCTCAATTTCAACAGCTTTTGTCCAATCAATTATAAAAAGGCGCTTGTCAAAACACTGTTTCATAGAACAAAAAGAATATGCACTCCCGATACAATAGAAGAGGAAATTATGAATGTTAAAAAGTGTTTAAGAAATAACGGATACCCATTGAAATTCATTGAGAAATATGGAAAACGTGAAGATAAAATACCCAAAGAAACTACAGTAAATAAAAGACCTGTTTTTATTCAACTCAAGTTCAAAGGCGATAATGTCACAGGGTCAATCAATATGAGACTAAAAACTGCACTGACAAAAACATATCCTGCAGCTAAATTGATTGTCCTGTCCAAAACGACATGTTCTTTGACACAATCAAAGGTCGACAGGTATCCCTTTCATGTTACCACCAACTGTGTATACAAATTTACATGTATCTGCCAAAGCAGTTACATTGGTAGAACAGAAAGGAGAGCCTACGTCCGATTCAAAGAACATATTCCGAACAGTTTGAGATCAAACGGACACAGGACACGAAGTCGATATACTGAAGTCCTTCAAGGTGATCAACAAACAATCAAATTCAAACCTTTTGAAATTCGCGGAAGCAATAGCAATCAAACGTTTAAAACCAGATCTTTGTATACAAAAAGAAACAGTAATAAATCTTTCTTTGCCCTGGTAACATTCACCTCACCCCTTTTATTTTATTTATTTTTATTACGTCATTTCAACTCTTTCTGAATTTTATAATTACATCACTCATAACTGACCAATTTCAATTCATATCTCTCTTTATTAACATTAATCTATTTTCCGTTACTTCATTACATAATCGTCTAATGTGTTTTAATTCCATGATTTCTAATCACTATTTCAATTTTCTGGAACCTTCCCTCCCAAACTCTATATATTCGAAACAAAAATTTTATGACCTCATTAACTCTAACGAAATCTTTACCACATTATGTTACATATATTCATCCTTCATCGCCCTCTGTTGTATAAGTATGTCAATATCTATAATAACGTTGAGTTTCAAATATTTTAGGTTGTAAGCAGCTGATGAGAACCTAACGAAATAAAATGAATTCATATTATTCTGCACCAACCTTTGTTCTTACTCTCTTTAAAATAATAAAGGGAACTATGTGTAAGGAATCCAGCTTGTTGATCTCGAAGTTGGGCGTATACTGCATCCTTCATTCGGTTCAGCAACAATCTGTTGAAGACTTTCCCTGGTATTGACAGTAGTGTAATGCCTCTGTAGTTTTCACATTTGCTCAGATCTCCTTTCTTTGGAATCTTGGCGAGGTGTCCTTCTTTCCAGTCCATCGGCACTTGTTCCTCCTCCCAAATCTTTTTGAATAGAAGATAAAGCATGCTTGTGGTTGTTTCGATGTCTGATTTCAGTGCTTCAGCTGGTATGTAGTCGGGTCCTGCTGCTTTCCCGTTCTTGATTTGTCTGACGGCCATTCTAATTTCTTCCGTAGTTGGTGGATTGACATCTATAGGAAGATCTGTGTGTGCTGCTTCGATGTCCGGTGGATTCATTGGAGCCGGCCTATTCAGGAGTTCCTCGAAGTATTCTACCCATCTGTTGAGCTGTTGTTGAATTTCGGTGATTTTCCTGCCTTCTTTGTCTTTGACTGGCCTCTCTGGTTTACTGTATTTCCCTGATAGTTTCTTCGTTGTATCGTAAAGCTGTTTCATATTTCCTTCTCTAGCAGCTTTTTCTGCCGTCGTTGCTATTTCTTCCACGTATTTCTTCTTGTCGGCTCTAATGCTCCTCTTCACTTGTTTGTTTGCTTCTATGTATTCAGCTTGTGCTTGGACTTTCTCTGCTCGTGTTCGGCTGTTGTTTATTGCTGCCTTCTTGTTCTTCCTTTCTTTGATCCTGTCCAGTGTTTCTGTAGAGATCCATTCCTTATGATGGTATTTCTTTAGACCGAGAACCTCTTGACACGTTGAAGTTAATGCTTCCTTGATGCCTTTGAAGTTGTCCTCCATAGTAGTTTCTTCTTCTTTCAGTAGATCTTGTAAGGCTTGGAACCTGTTGTTGAGAGCTATCTTGAATTCATTGAGTTTGTCAGTATCTCGAAGGAAGGCTGTATTGAACCTTTGTAGTGCTGTTTGTCCACTTGTCCAGTTCTTTTTTAGCTTCAGTTTTAAATTGGCTACAACTAGGTGGTGATCTGAAGCTACGTCAGCACCTCTCCTGGTTCTCACATCTTCCATTGTCCTTCGGAATTTTTTGTTGATGCAAATATGATCTATTTGGTTCTCTGTAGTGTGGTCCGGTGAGATCCATGTAGCCTTGTGTATACGCTTGTGTGGAAATATTGTGCCTCCTATGACCAATTTGTTGAATGCACATAGATTTGCAAATCTTTCTCCATTTTCGTTTCTTTCTCCCAGTCCATGTCGTCCCATAATATCTTCATATCCAGTGTTGTCTATTCCGACTTTGGCTTCGAGGTAGTCAACAGGAAATTCTAAGTGATCTATGTTTCGAAAGTCAGAAAAGCATACATCCATTCAGGAGGAAATTGGAGCTTCCTGAGGGATTCAAATCGATATCACCCAGCTTCATAGTCTAAAAGGTTGCCACTGAGCTATTCGGACAGCAACTGAGCTGCAGGACTGAGATAACCACTTTGACCGACCACAGATTAGCGTAAACAAAGTGCACTTGTTGTTGAGTCAATTAGAATGCTGGCCATATTGACACATGATTGATATAATTGAATCAGCACCAAAGATTGGATAAAAGTGACACCAGTTACCACTTAGTAATCAATCAGAACAAGGCCTAGACACAAACATGCCATGTGTGAAAAATCAATTTTATTGGAAAGACTATAAGTCACTACTCATAGTTAGCATCCGGAATTCATAGGACGGAGTACACTGCAAAGTCGTGCATAGAGGACAGCTGACAGATGCATTCCAAGTGAGGATTGGAGTAATATAAAGATGTTTACACTCTCCCTCTATTTTCTAGTGTTTCAACTGGACATGTAAGAGGAAAATGGGATACAATGGACAGTTCAGAATCAGTTAGAAGATTCGGACTTCGCAGATGACCTTGCCCTCCTATACCATACACACGAACAAATGTAGATGAAGAAAACTAGTGAGCAGAAGTCTCTGAATCAGTAGGCCATGACATACACTAAGGAAAAAGCAAGATCCTCAAATACAACACGAGAATACCAACACAATTACACGATGGCGAAACTCTGGAAGATAAGGAATCCTTCACGTAGCTGCGAAGCATCATCGATGAACAAGGAGGATCCAATGTAGATGTGAAGGTACGGATTGGAAGAGCAAGGGTAGCATTCATACAGTTGAAGAACATATGGAACTCAAAACAACTGTCAACCAATATCAAAGTCACAATCATCAATACGAACATCAGGACAGATCTACTGTACGAAGCTGAAACTTCGAGAACTACCACAACAATCATCGAAAAGGTACAAATATTTATAAACAGTTGTCTACGCAAGATACTCAATGTCCGTTGGTCGGATACCATAAGCAACAGCCTACTGTGGGAGGGAACAAACCGGTTTCCATCTGGACTTGGGAAAAGACGATGGAAGTGGTTAAAACATACGGACAGCAACCAGAAATCTTTCTCGTGGAACATCCGAATTCAAGCTTCTCAGTCAGAAAAATACGTCAACCATTTAGTCGTTTCGGGCTTCCAGAATTAAGAGTTAGCGACAATGAAATACAGTTTACGTTCTCTATCTTCTCCGGATTTTGTCAGCAGAATGAAATCAATCGTGTCCGAACACCTCAGATAATTAATGGGGTCTCTCCAGCAGAAGCATTACTTGTCAGAAAAATACAGACACATTTCGACTTTATTCGTCCAACGCCAGCTCTTGAGCCTCAACGAAACATATGGATGGAAAAACAGTTCAATCGACATCATGGGGCACAAAGACAATTGTTCACTATGAGTCAAAAAGCACTTGCTATGAACTGTCGTGGCAAACATCCTACATGGATGGTTGACCGAATAGTACAAAAGAGAGAAAGTGTGGTTTACGAGGTGTCAGTTGGTTCAGAGGTTTGGATGCGTCATGCTAACCAACTGAAAGAAACTTTGATCCCCAGAAATGAGACCTGACACAGAACGCCTCTTGATGTTTGCTGGACACCTTTGAAACCAAAACCCCTGGGACAGACTGACCAGTCTTTGAGCAAGCAGAGTGATACCACCTCTTTATTGCCTAGAAGGTGGACAAATCGAAAGCACACACCAGCCACGTGGTTGCAGGGCGACCCTATCCTACGAATCTGTCCACACGAGAGGTGTTGACGAGATATAGATAGGATTAAAATGTTTCGTGTATAATTGTGTCGAGGCACTCTGATTGGCCATTTCTTAACCAATCGGCGCTAGCGGATACGTGGAGAGGAATAGAGAATCTTCTTATGCGAAAATTCTAAGTATACTGACTTTTTTTATTGCGATTCCTACTTCCATCGACCATTTTTATTTGGAATGTGACTACGTTTCTGTTCAACCGTGTTCTAATTTGGGGGACTTGTCGAGTAAGGTAGTGTCCAAGAATACTAAACGACCAGAGTAGCTGGGCTGTAATAAGAGACAACATAACACCAACCCTCCCGCTCCTCTACCGACACTTGAGACTGGCAGTAACCTCTGGAGGGCTTCAGGTGAATTTAACCTTGCATGTGCCTGAAGGAGATCGGCAGGATTCTCTCACTTGAAGTAGATTTCTTATTAA